GAAAATATGAGATGTATTATAGTTGATTATTTTTGTTTAAATAAGTATTATAATTTCCTACATCCAAATTATAATATTTATTTGGCATACATACATTTTTCATTTGTATTGCTCATCAATAAAGAAAAATTAGAGATGTATTATGGTCGATTATTTTTATTTAAATAAATATTATAATTGGTAAATATAAAATAACCAAGCATAAATTGTTATTAGTTTAAATTCCATTAATTTGAATTTTATGAATTCAATGTTATAAATTAAGAAAATTATACGAAAATATTACTTAATCAAATGTAATTATTTAAATAAATTCTATAAGTTTATTGTTAACTAATAAAATTATAGCTGAATAATGAAATTATGGTAACCATTATAATTTGGGGAAATTATCAAAATACCCATGTGAGATGAACTATTTAACATTTTATCCATATTGTTTGATTTATTTCAAAATACCCATGTGCAAGGAATTATTTAACATTATATCCATATTGTTTGATTTAATTTCAAAATACCCATAGAAAGACACATGATCATGAGGTGGAATCGTGTCAGAAGTGTAAAATGCTTAAATAGTGCATCTCTCATTGGTATTTTGATCAATTTTTATAAATTTTCCTTATTATTTTATATTAAAACGATCGTATTGTTCGTCATTGAGAATTAATATAATTATGAATTAAATTTTCTATTAGTAGAAGTCTTTAATTCTAAATTATTATAAGATTCATAGTCGTCATAGTTGTAAATACTAATCATATAATAATAATATTGTATCAAATATGATATTAGTGTTTCAAAAAGCGCTAGGCGGGTCCTAGGCGACTTGGGGGCTCCAGGCCGCCCAACGCCTAGGCAGGCACCCAGAACCTGGGTGGCCCAGTCGAATCCAAATAAGGATTCTGCAGTTATGTCAATGTCAGTTATATGTATTGCAGTCCATAATTCAAATTATACTACATATTAGCATTTAACACACTCCATAAGCATGACCAGAATCCATAAGTCGGCTCATGCTCCATATCCAATTAAAACTTAGAATTTTCCAACCAACAGGGTTATCAAATAGTATCACACCAGTACTGCAGTACACCACCATGAGGAAGAAAACAAACTTGAATTATGAAACTATGAAAGTAATACTTGAAGACTCAAAAGAATCTTCAATAGTTTAATACACAATACTTCAATCAAAGTTCAAACTTCGAAGTTTAATAATTATTCAACAATCAACATTCCATTCATCATCAGAAAATCTTGGGTCAGCTGCATTGGCATCATATTCCTCCATCCTTGTTCTCTGTGCAGAAGATCTAGTGGCCTTAGGAGGGTCAGTTGATGTCCCTGAAGCATCCATGACCATGTCCCATGTTAATCTTTCATACCCCTCGACCTCATCCTCATCAACTAACCACTCCATAGCATGGTCCATATTTTTTTATCTGATGGGGTCTCTCTTATCTCTCTTAGCAAACCTGTCCTTCAAGAATCGATTGTACTTGACATAGATTAGGTCATTGAGCTTCTTTGATTCAAGCATGTTCCTTTTCTTTGTATGAATCTAACAAAATCAAATGAAACTCATTAAAATCTAATATCTATGGTTCATGTATTATTTATAAAATTATACAAATTACCCTTACGGCCTTACCCCTTCAAAAGTACTCCAATTGTGCTGACAACCGGCTGAAGAAGTGGTTAGGTTTAAGATCCGAATGGCCAACTTTTGTAAATTTGGCGAACTATACCCATGTTGGCTCCACCAATGAGCTGCAAAGATATAAAAAAAAATCATAAATAAATAATAGAATTACTTGATTACTTGAACTTGATGAAGATGAACTTAAGAAAATTATTAATACCTGGATTAATTTTGGTCATTTGCCTCATCGCCATTGGACTCCCAAAAGACTTTAATGAGCACTTGTAATTTATCTGCTCATCAGCGCATATAATATCTTGAATATCAGGATCAGGTATAATATCTTGAATATCAGGATCAGGGACTAGCACCTCTACACACTCATTAAATCTATTTATAATTGTGTCATTTGTTTGTATATCCTTGTCAATATAAAAAAACACTGGGTTCAAATAATAACCAGCTGCATGCAATGGCCGATGTAGCTGCCTATCCCACTTCTCATCAATAATTTCCCAAATAGGCTTGTAGCGGGTTTCTTTATTGAAATTTTGGGCTATCACTCTTTTGCATTCCTCCATAGCATCATATATGTAGCTCATAGGAGGCTTGTCATTATCAACCATGCGAAGGATTTTGTCAAGAAGAAAAAATACCTTAAGAGCGCCCTTCACCCCTCTCCAAAAAGCCTCAGAAAGTATAATATCTCTCACCTTCTTCCCAACCTAATCCTTAGACCACTTGCATGCTCTCCACTCATCCAAGATAAACATTGGCCTCAATTGCACTCTCCTCGAATGTATGCTATCTAGACATAAGTACTAGGGCGCAAATCTTGTGACTCCAGGCCTCACAATCTCCTTCTTCTTTGTAAAGGTACGCATCATGCTGAGGGTGAGCTGGTGGCTATAAATGAAATTTGTAACTAACTTGGCCTTCTTCATTGCACCTGATATCTCGGTTAAACTGCCAAGAGCCTCAAGCATGAGGTCTATATGTCCAAACGATTCTAGGATAAGCTATGCGTAACAAATTAGATGCAACAACATCAAGAGCAGTATTGTCTGTGACAACCTGTATAACAAGATTCTCCCCAACCTCTTTGATTCCCTTCTCTATCACTTAAAATATGTAATGAGCATCATGGATATGATCAGAGGCATCAATAGACCTCAAAAAGACAGTCCCTGCCGGGCAATTCACAATCAAATTCATTTGACTTCTTCTCTTCCTATCACTCCAAGCATTAGTCATAATAGAAACCCCATACTGAGTCCATCCATCATTCTTAAGTTCTACAGCTTCCTTCGTGATACTCATTGCCTTTTTTAAAAAAGGCTCTGAAAGCTCATATGGGGTTGGAGGTTTCATCCCAAGGCCAAATTGGCCAACTGCCTCTATCGCAGCATAGAAGCTGCTTAAGCAGGCGGTATTGAAAGGCATGCCCGCCTCATAAAACTATGTAGCAAGATAATACGCAGCTCTATCTCTCTCTTCCTTCTTGATTCTATTTTTAATGGTGGTTTGCTTTTTTGTTTTCTCTCCTGCAACCTCAGGGTCAGGCCGAGGTAAAAAACTATCCATAGGGCCTTTAACCCGAGGCTTCTTAGTCCCAGAACCAGAAGCAATTACAACTCCCTTACCCTTTCCCTTAATAATGGATTGCTCAACCTCATGACATCCTTCTTCAATCCTTTCCTCATCACTATCATCATCATCAAAATTGACCCGAACCCCGGACCTAATCTCTGCTATAGAGGCAAATCTCTCATCTTTTTTCATTTTCACCATGTTCAAAAAATTGTTTATTTCCTCTTTAACAGCATCAATAGTCCCTTTACATGGGGCAACATCGCCTTTGATTCCGGCAAGATGTTTCTTGAACCTGTTTATGCTCCCTTTTGTATCCTTTTCACAAAACTTGCATCTTATGCAATTTTTATCAGTAGGATCTGAGTTATAGCTATATTTCCAACCGGGATCACCACTCCTATTAGATCCCGAAGAAGACATCTAAAAAATAATGCAAATTACTAAAGCAATAAAAAAGAATCACTTACTTTGAGTTTGATTGCTCAGTCTTCAAACTTCCACGCCAAAGATGTTTCTAAATATTCAAAATCGTCTAAAATACCCCCTAATAACTTTACAAAATATCAAAAAGTAAATCTAATATCAATGGGTGATGTCTTGATCAATTTTTGTTAACTTTGAGAAACCCTTCGATCCTAAAAAATTCACAAAAACTAGATTTTTGGGGGCTTTCTCTCTCTAAAATTGGCTCCAACAAGTTTAGGGTTCAAATGAACCTAAAAACTTACTTTTTGGCTCTTTCAAAAAAAAAAAAGACCAAAATTGCCCCTACCGAAATCAATTTCAGCCCCTGAGCGGCCGCTCAGGGATTGATTGCTCAGATTGGCCGGCTAGGCCTGGGCGATGCGCTCAGGCCTTTCGGACCGCCTAGGCGCTGGGCGGTCCACTTTTTGAATCATTGTAGTATAACAATATAATTATGAATGAATATTTTCTTGTGCGTCGTATTTTTTTAGTTACACTATGTCCCAAAAATTTCAATTCAACCCGTTTTTCTAGAAAAAGATTAAAATTCAAGTAT